AGTATTTGTAATTTTAAAATAGTTCACACATGAGATGAAGTTACTTGTTTTTTTCAATAGCTTTTCTAGGGTTCTTATATGACTATAGAGTGAGTTCACAATCTACTGAACCTCTCTTCTACAAACAAAAATCACGGACTGAAACAAAGACTTAAAGTCTTAGCAGCTGACGAAATTTGAATCCGGCTACTACCCTTAAGTACAAAATAACTCAAAAACTGTCACATGTTAGTTGATGACAAAAAATTTCATCATTCATGAGGATGAATCTTCCAAAAATGAGATTTGAAGACGGCAGTTACCGTGCACCAAAAAACACTATTCTCATTATGTTACTTGGTTATCGCTAATTTAGTAAGCCTATGCATAGGGTCACGGATATCCTGTGTAATTATCATAATGTAATGGAGTTTGACTGAATTCTCAGTCTAGGGTTGTGGAGAATGTGGAATTTCGTTGAAATCACGAACTGATCGAAGTTAGACAACAAATGAAAATCTGGATACACTGGATGGCCACTTCTTCACTAGTGAACATATAATAATTGTCAGTATAGGGTTGTGCTCCCTAGTGATTAGCTTCTAGAGGAACGTTTAGATGAACCAGCGAGAACCCATGACTAGGACAACTAAACCATGTCAGATATGAGGAGAGTACTTACCAAAGACCAAATATCCTGGGTTCAATTCGTGAGTGTGGGATCGTGGATGCGCAGTCATAGGAAGCTTCGTACTAGGACGAAACGGTCATCCAGTCCTCCAAGGTTTTTAATGGTTGTCCAACTCTGATCGCTTTGCGACTTCAATGAGACTGGGTTTTGTTACATTATTTCTAGGAAGAAAACTTAATAAGTGGATCTAAAATACAAACTTCTGCTATCCAGAAGAAACTAATTTTACTCTACAATTGAATTCATATCACTACAGTTACATACACCACCAGTGAATTATTTTGGGTTGGATAAAAATCAGAAAGAGAATATAACTGGATAATCATGGCAAACATACAATCAGTATATGATCATTAACAGCATCAGTCAGTTTACGAATCATGAAATAGGGACAGTTTGAGGATTCTGAGTCAAGTAATTACACCGTAATCCTACAGAGAAACCATTGTTAGGCAGAAGCAGTTAATTTTTAAGGGCCATCTTAATACTCCACAATGCGAAGAATATTATTCACAGGAGGATTAAGTTGGCAAAAGAAGAGACGTAGTGTGAATGAGAGGTTCCAATTTAAGCCTCCAGAGTGATCGGTATTTCAAACACTAATAATTTTTTTAATGATCAAGTTCTATAAAGATGACAGACGCAGATTTGAAAACGGTCCAAGTTAAAGAGGAACATTACAGCCAGCCTCACGGAGGTCAATTATTTTTGGCTGAAAGAGATAGGGATTTTTGATATGATGGAAGAATTATAAAACACTTCATTCTTGTACGAGATATTACTATGCTATAAACGTACTACTGCTAGATTGGCGACTCGAACAATACGCTATACATAGACTAGATAATATCGTATCAGATACATTATTGATGACCAAAATAAAGAACTAGAATAAATGCTAGACAACACTTTACTCTACATAATTACAAGCAGTCACTCTCAGTGAGTTCAGGTTAGAGATTGATAAGGAAAAATAAATTATATATTAATTATTAAGTAAGCTGCATGCCTGTTTGTTCACAGTCAGTAATCATTCACATTTATTCTCAACAACACACAAACTTTCAACAACACCATGGCCTGCGGGGAAGGCTGAGAGATCTAATTAGACAAGTGCTTACAGGTAACTCATCACAAGTACTTATGCTAGGAGCAGTTTGTGTTTCTACGTGCCGTAACAGCAAGCATCATGTTCATAATACATAGATTGTCCGTCAAGATTATCCTGAGTTATTTTTTTCAAATGGTCGAACTAATCAAATGAGAGAGCGATTGTTTCCATAATATCCAGAAAAATAAGCTCTTGAAGATAAACAGCTGTCAACATCTCATTAAGCATATGAGAAACCGCTGCCAATTTTTGTAAATCGGGAATATATTCGAAAAATAATCATTTATTCCCCTAAGAAAATAGACAAGTCAACCTACTGTACCGTTAAAGTGTGTGCATTGTAGAAAAGCAATGTCATTTGGAAAGGAAACGTATTAGAATAATAGCCATAGTAAAGGAATAATTAACCATCATTTAGTTAACTATGAATGGTTACTGAATTTAAAGCTAACCAAATGAAAATTTTACCCAATATTTCATCTCAAGATGAATGTAAACAAAATAAAATATCTCTAATTGTTTACTCATATGTAGAATTACATGTTATTAAAGTAGCAAAGACAATTAGGTAGAGACTACACTGTATAAAAGAACTCATTACTAGAGTTAACCAATCAGAACTAAGAAAACGCCACGTGTACTTTATACGAAGTTTGAAGTGTATTTGATTACTAAACAAGTGAAAATTGCCAATATTTGTTTCTTAAAATGTTTGACATCAATGAAATATTAATTATGCAACCAGAAAGTGAATTTTAGATGGTGATTAAATGAAATTACAAAACATACCCGCTTATAAGACAGGCTGTTAAACTACTTAATGTGGTATGCTACGTAATGTAGAGTATTTAGTGAAGCTAGACGATCTTCACACTTTCTTAATCTCTGTTTAAATCCCAAACATAAGTTTTACAAGTTTTTAAACAAGAAACTGACGAGGTATTGCTGATACCATTACGGGTTAAAATTCTGACCCTAATTTGTAAACTAAACTCAAAACTCCAGTTATTTTCTTAATCCCAAACCAAACCTTTTTGTTTTATAAATGATATGAGTTGGTGATGAAAACTCTATGGGATGACGACTCTAAATAACAACACTGGTCAAACTTCTAATATTTATGTATAAATGTAAACTTACCCGTTTCTCTTTACCACAGGGAGGAATTAAACTTGTAAGGGTTAGTTATTACGATCAAAAATGTTATTTCATCACTTTGTATTGTTAATTGTTTTATAACTAAACAGCGGTTGCTTATTAGCTGGTAAGTCGCACAAGGCCGTCAATACATTATACTTTAACATATATATATATATATATATATATATATATATATATATATATATATATATATATATATATATATATGAGAGTTGTATGATAAGTTTAAACTTATATAAACCTGGGTAAGATTTTTCGTAACTGAAATTGAAATGATTCATGAATTAAATTTACAAGCTACTGAACACAAATGAAAGGTTCAGACTAACCAATAAGTTGCTGGTAGGCATTCGAAATATGTATTAGACTTTAAATTGAATTACGGCTTTTAAACACTTTCACCAGAATACTTTTGTATGTATTTAGAAGCTAACTGTTTTAAATTAAATATCAACCCAAATAAATTTGGCAATTAAAGAAACAGAATGGATTTACTCATTAACGAAAATACTATAGTAATAAGCGTTTCTAGTATTACACTGTTGTTTATCAACCTGACAACTTATTTATTCTTAAAAGATTTAATTACGAGGATGAGAAATAACTTTTCAGCTTCATCAGCATGAAGATTTCCACTTGAAAATATTGAACAAGGTTATTTGATAAGAGGTTTACTAATTAATATAAAGATGAAAACTAAACACTATGGTAAAATTTAGTTTCAGTATAAACTGTTTATTTAACACACATTTTAGACATGGTTTGATAACAATCACATGATTTGAAGCAATTAGTCCATTTAAATTCATTCAGTATTGTTTGTTTAAATCTTCCCATCGATTTGTTGGGACTGCAACTGGTCAGTCTCTAATTAGTTCATTTGGTAAATTTCGATAGTGCAATTAGAAGACGAAGTTTATCAGAACTATGTGATATATGGGCGCAATACATTTTGAGTAATCTGATTATATATATATATATATATATATAAATACTTGTTAAGAACATTTATATATAAAAATAAAAGATCATCTAGACTAGAATCGGAAGGTAAAAAAAGACAAAGATAATAAAGAAAATAATGTGAAAGCAATTTGAAACCTCATCATTTTGGATAATAAGCTAATAAAACCAGGGTCGGTTTAGTGAAAGAAAAAACTTCTTCAATATGCAAACGGGGTTTGAATTTTTGTATGGCTAAGGCTTTAATAGACCTTATTATACGCCCTTTTACACTTTTGTACAACACCGCTAAAGCCGTGTTAAGATTAATATTATGATCTGTTTCAACTATATATTTAATAATAGAGCAGGATGGATGTTTATCCTCTACTTTTATTGGATCATTAACAAGTATATATGTGATCAGAATGTTTGAAATTTATAGTGCTAATATATTACATAGTTCTGATAATCTTTGTCTTTTTAGAACACTATCGAAATCACATGATTAAAAAATTATATTGTAAACGATACTGTAACACTATTACTACTACTACTTCCCAGATCAAGCAGGAAAAAATTTGTGAGGATCAACTAGTTTTTGAATCTATCATACAATCAAGTTGATTCCAATGATTTAACTTTTACAAGCAGAAACAGGAACTTTTTAGTTTAATCCTAATCAATCATCACACCTAGAATGTGCAATGTGGGATTATTTAGTTATAAGAAAGAAAGAAAGGCAACTCGATATATGGACAGCTTACTCACTCTATTCAGTTTCTTTGATAAACAAACAAACAAACAAAAAGTGAAGCTTTATTGAAAGAGAAGAAAATTACTAGAACAAAACGTTAAAAAACAGAATTAAAACAATTAGTAATGAATGAGTTGTAGGCATCTCAGTATTTCGTTCCGATTATTTTTTTCTTGACTTTACAGAAGAACGGTTAACAGGCATACAAACAGTAATCGATCAAGTAAAACAAAGAAAGCAACCTTGGATAGGAAGAAAATAAGAGTAGAGAGACGGATAAAAAGAAAGAAATGAACAAGAAGAAACATCGGCGACAAAAAAATTAACAACGAATGAGTTTAAAATTATGATGAACTTACCATGAGATGAAGCGTCAAGTATTGGAGTTTTTGTTAAACTACTGTTATATTGTCCTGGAAAAAAAAAGAAAAAAAAATTGGAAAATAAACTTGTTTCCATTGATTAATTTAGTTAAAATAAAATCACGAAGACAGTTTGTTAGAAATTCAGATTTAAATGAATACATTATTATTATTATGTTACAACTGACGAGTCCCAAATAGGACGAAACGCGCGTCCTGGATTCCACTGTTAGCCACTAATCATCTTTGCTTAACATGCTTGTGAATTTTAGGCTGAATCGAGGCTATACGCACAGTATGCACATATGCCAATTAGAGACTGATCAGTTGCAGTCCTAAAAACATCAATGGGAAGATCCAAACAAACAATACTAAATATATCATACTATTTTGTTTGAAATGTTTGTTTTAAAGTTAGAAATTGGATTATTTATTTTTAAAGTAAAAAACAAAAAATTCAATGGGATCAAGTGAATTCATTTCATTTTGTGTGCTCTAAATCCTCCACATATATACAGATTTGTATAATTAAATAAAATGCTTCATAAATGTAACTTTGTGTGTAACATTTTTTAAAGTCAATTAATTAACTGATAAAAAATAATTATGAATACTTTATCTATTCATACAGGTCTAATTTATTGGTGAACGGATAAAGTGAGAGACCAGGATGGGCAAAATGATGAAAATAGTCAGTCAGTTGCAACGTAGGACCAGGCACATATATGCATCGGTCCAAGTTGCCATACCTCGTTAGCATAACAAGATGAACACCGGATGATAGATTGTTATTTCACATATCTTAGCGTTCACTTCATAATCCAAACCATTTTGAAAATAATTAGAACAATTTCAACTTGAATAAATAGTGTTACAATGTAACTTATATCAAGATTCGAAAATGAACTCATCAAACTACAGGATTGATGAACCCACAAGTAAGAAAGAATGCCACTGCAACATTATTGGTATTGATAACTTTATTCAAATAAACACACGCGTATACATTTTAATCAATTAAAGACTAGAAAAATCTAGTAGAAATAGAGAATAATTATTCAACTTACCAAAGGCTTTGAACAATACAAGATAATGTGGCTCACAGTATGGATTGCCTTCCCATACACTGTATTTGCCCAAGCTGTAAAAAGTTTTCAACAATAAAGAATGAGTGAAAAAAAAGTTGTGCCTAGATGCAAAATTTAAGCAGCAAGCATAATTTAGAACAATATGGCAATTGATAAATAATTAACGCCAATTACTGACATGGATTTTGTGAATATATAACAAAAATAATTAAGTATATACAGTATCTGACATGCAAACAGAAATAACTTATAAAATATGTTGTGCGCGATTAACTAACTAGCTACAATGCTGAATGATCAATTTGTTTCAATTTCGAAACAGGTATGTGTGTATGTATTTCGAAAACGTCATACAATGATCAATAAACATTTACCTTTAATCATTGTGTCTTATGTATATATTATTGCTTTGATTGTTACTGATGGCCTAATTATGTTGCGTACATAATTGACAAAGATCATTGATACGCTTATGTATAATTAAATCCAATAGGCAAAGTCGGTGAGTTAGAAGCCAAAAATTTATGCTCATGTCCGTTATAACTAATCAACGTGAATCATCTAAAAATTTCCAGAGACTGGTGCTTGGTTATAAGCTCAAATATGTACCTTAGTACAAGTCAGAGACGTCACCAGTCTGGCAACCAAGCCTTTCTTTAGAACCGGGTCAATTATATAAATCTATTATCATATTTAGTTTCTAGATTTAAAAAAACATTCGGTTTACCAAATACTTTGATAATTCATTGTTTATGACAGTTTACATAACTATATTTGAAAAATGTTATTTCCACAACTTCCAAAGTTTATAAGCTGATTTTCTTTCGCGCAAAATACGTATTCATCAATTCAAGTAGGCACCACTACAATGTTCATTTTTCACTGTTAAGGTCTTATTACGATGACAGAATATTTGTTAATTCACATTTATGATTGAACCAACGTGCAATGAACATGTTTTAGTATATGATATAATTTGTGTTTAAAAGTTTGTATTCTATAATAAATTCAGTATTTCAACTAATTCCTATCATCATTCTTCAGGGATGTAGCTGCACGAACACATTGACTAGAAATATTTTGGATGAACGTTAACCCTTAAACCTTAAAAGGACATGTGAAGATTGGGTGAAACACGTCTGAAATTAAATACCATTTATGAACTACAGTTGTTAATTCTTTAACAGCGTTATTTGATAAAAATCTTTTAAATATTACTACACAAACTGTTATATTTGTGTGCAAGTCTGATAGCTGAAACTATTTTTAGACTAATTGTAGATATTATTGATATGAAGCAAGCAAATCCAGGGTAAGTTTATCTCGTACTCTGAAATAGAGAGAAGAAATTCTTGTTGAACTGAATTAGAGAAAAGAATACTATATGTTTTGATGAATAATAATATTAGAGCTATCAATTTATCTCGACAGAACTATGAAATGAATCAAGGTTTTCATCAAATATAACGAACCGTTTTTAACATCTTTGTGAATCAAGTCAAACCAGCTGTCGTATATGTATATCTCTAATTGGCATCGAAGATTTTTTATAAATTTGAGTGGAAAGCTGGTTGAAACGAGGCATGACATTAATTGATAAAATTTATTCAAATATTATCCCGAATATGCGAGAAAGAAATCAGCATAGTCTAGTAATTGCATTGTGCAACATTCAGTATAAATATATAACCGTTGGAGTTTATCAGTTTTAATTATATCGTTGTTAATTTTAAGTGATGGAATTATCAATTATTATTACTGCCAACACTGTGATCTTCGGTACAACTTGAGTAATTGTCACAAATCATAAAGCATTTGAATGATAAGCAGCTTTATGTAATGTACAAACATATTAATACACACACATATCACAATCGACAATAATGATGACTGTCAAAATAGCTTGACAATAAAGCAGTGTGTAGTAATATTATTATAATAGTTAATATTACTACTTATAAGATGAACAGAAAGTAGAATATGCATTACATAAATTTATGGAGAAATTTAATGATCTCACATGCAATCGATATAATTAGTTAGTTACACATGCTACATACATACCTAATGTAATTAATTCTCCTTTTTTTCAAGTATATAACTCTTCTTTAAATTCTGCTTCTATTTAGGTATTTGTGTGCGCTAGTTTGAAAGTGTCCACCTTGACCTTATCCATATATATACATTGATATGTGAATGAGCACAGAACTTTATTGCTTTAACTTAGTAATTAGATCATGAAATGAGTAATAAATTTCTAAATATATTAGAAAATGGTCTTTGCAATTGAACTGTAGAATATATCAATATTAAAGTACACATTTTCTATCATTTAAATGAAATTAAAACTAGTTAATAAAATACATTCATTCTATCTAATCATATATATATATATATATATATATATATATATATATATATATGTTGGAAATGAGTTGTGTGCCATGCACTTTTTCAAAATCAACTCATCTATCTACCTAGTCATCATCATTATCATCATCACCAACACAGCTGAAATGTATAATTAAAGTGGCGATTTAGGGAAATATATACATTTATATTGTAAAATGTCTTTACGAAAGAACAAACAAACAACAATTATCACATTTAATCACGCTTTACTAAGTTAAATTCCTTGGATTTACCAGTATCAATGCACCATCTCATTGCAAATAATTTGACCTTAATTACCTTAATTAGATAATGAATGCTGTAAAGTACATTTATGGCTATTTGTTGAAATGAAGCCAATTCAATCTTAAAAGTAACTAACACATTACGAAAATGATAATAAATCCATGCAAAACTCAACTTTTTTCTGTATTTACTATCAGATTCTTGACACAAACGGAATAGTGAAAAAACTAAAGCGATCGTATCTAAAGATATACATATGGTTGTATCTTAAATGATATAATTTGGAAAAAAGTTAGGAGCCGACAAACCGAAAAGTGGAATCAGTTCACGAAGTCAATGACTACTGGATTTAGCCATGTTCATAAGTTCAGACTCTATGATTAGGGTGGTATGATTACCGTAACCAACGGTTGGAGACTGGGTGACATAGTTCAGAATCGGTTGGAACGGCTCCAATGCATTATTATATTACCAGTTAGTTCAACTTGTAAATGTAATAAATGATATATATCCACTTAAACAACTCATGTCCCAATAAAGACTTATAGAACTCTATTCAGTAGCAATAATACACAAAAATAAATCACAAACTATTTCAAATGATGTTAGTTTTAAACATTTATAACATAGTGGTCACTGATGAGGTGCTTGAGAAAGTGGTCAGTGAAACAAGTGGCGAACATTAATATGTAACAAATAATTAAAAGAAGAGGTATTAAGTATCTACATTTTATCTTTCCATGAAGTAGATTACTCGTAAACTTTAAATACTATTTCTTCCTGATCTCCATCGTCTGTGTGCCCTGCTGTATTATTTACTAACAAAGAATACTGAAAGGATCTGGTCAAGAAACATTCCTAAAACTAAAACAGCTCCTATCATCAAACATTCTACATAAAAAACTATGGTTCATCCCTCCCAATTTCGAGAAAGCTATTGCCCACGCTGGACGATCACTGACAACGACCAAAATGAACTATAGTTAGATAGAGAAGGAAGCTATCTCCATTACCATTGCTGTGAAGAAGTTTCACAAGATGCTATTCGGCAGACGGTTTATGATATTAACAGACCACAAACTGCTACTTACAGTTTTTGGATCTAAGAAGGGAATCTGTGTTTATACAGCAAATCGTCTACAACGATGGAAAACTACACTGCTGGGCTATGATTTCAAGATAAAATATTAATCGATAAAGGATTTCGGATAAGCAGATGCCCTCTCGAGATTAATTGGTTCCCATATAAAACAAGAAGCGGAGGTAAGGTAAGTAGACCTACAAACGAATATCGGATGGCTACTCGCAGCTTCCAGGTGGGCGAAAGAGTACTTATCAAGTCTTATCAAGGTAACAGAAAATGGGAGCCAGGTATTATTGAACGTCGGATTGGAAAAGTACTGTATTTAGAGTCCGGAGAAGTGTCAAGAATTGTATAAGATATGTCAATCAAATTCCAAGGGATGGTAGAACAATGATATATAAAATAAAAAAATACATAAAGCCGACTTCCGTTTCCGATGCTCGTGGATTCATCTCGAAAAAGCCCTAAGGAGAACAAAAGCAGATATAAAAGACGAAAAGGCAGAACAGTACAGCCTTCAAGAAGAACCACAAGAGGAATGCGGTAACCAAGTTTTAAGTGAACATGGGCAGAAATTCTCACAAAAGAAACTTTGAAGAGGACGGCCCCCGATGAACTCAAGGAAGCTCTGGAAGGGCTGAAAGCATTTCATCTAACCATCTTTCGGAAGAACACTCCACAATCTCGACGTGTAGCTCCCAGATTAGATAAATGCTAAAAGCCACTGCATGAGGATTGGGTGACTGTAATAATTATTTCGCTTTTACTAAAAACTATAAATACCTAAGTGTTTTATACCACATTTGACACTGTTTAGAATAAGATTCCTCCCTACTGGTCTTCTGCCTTCTAACTTGCGACTTGGAGGGTTTTAGAGTTTGAGTGCTCAAGTTGTACGCGGTATAGAAAGAATACAAGCTCTAGACATAACACTATGTTTCATCATTCAAATATGTGTACATTTCAGTGTATAACGGGGATTCTCGGAAAATATGCGTGAATTCAGGGTAATTTTGATCACAAACAAAAAAGTAGTAAGCAGTGAAGAGTTTTGTACATATCTGATATTGTGTATTAGTGCACACACAACTCTAAACGGAATAGAAACTGTGAGATACAAGTCTTACAGGTGTACATTTCTGAGAATGTGCCCAAATTAAGACAAACCTTCAACTGATGTCAGTTCATTATGTAAACTACTAATGGATAAAAACATATATCACACGATCCACAGTGAGATACGGAATTCCATAAATCGTTTAAAGGTGTGGTGAATATCATTAAAAAGATCGATTGCAAGTAGTATATAGAGGAAAGTGGCGTCGAAGCTGTCACAGTTGTAAGACTGAGACAAGAGTTTAGATTGCAGGAAACATTGCAAGATGCAAGTGGATGATCGAAGGCTATGTATACATACTATAGTTGCACTGTAATTTATCATAATAAACATTCCTTTTGCCCATTGCCTTGTTCTATATTTGGTGTCGCTGCCAAGAACCAGGGGGAAAATGCCGTGACCAGAGCCGTTTGAAGATGAAGACATGAAGAGCTATCTGAGCCAGTTCTAGGACATAGAAGCGCGGGTTGTAGCAGTGAGTGAAGGTGACAGTCTTGGGGACACAAGTGTGCAGCAGGGCAAAGGAGGCTTCAGACGCTGTCGCTCCTGATAATGGAGAGGAATCACGGGACATCGTAGTTTCTCAGACGCTGACGGAGTCTGAAGGTCTGGCTTAGCAGTAGGCAGTATTACAGAAGTTTAAAGTTATGCATCTTGCGCCAGACGGAGACCTACTTGTATTGACATCTACGCCATCTAACTTGCTTCAACGTGCATTACATGCACTGGAAGGGGAATCGAAGGAATAGTTGCTGGCATTTTAATTCCCAGTGTTTCCGGGATGATAGGCCAACAGCTTTGGGTGGCGAACGCCGTATAGCCAAAGGACATCCAGAAAATGGCTAGAGCAGCTTTACAACTGACGAGTTCGGCTGTGTCAACAGTAACGAACGAATACAAGACGCCAGTCTCCGTGGAGGAGCTAATTGAAGGATATACGATAATAAGTAACATAAGTTCTCAACCACTGGAAAAGAATTTTTAGTGATCATCTGGGTGGTAGACAAATGGAAATCGCATATACTTGGTCGACAATTCCACTACAATGGGTAAAACAACAAAAGACCCTTGGAGGAAATTATCATGACAGACGTCGTGCGTACAGAAGCATGGTTTTACGATTGGTCAAATAATGAGAGAAAATATGGTTGCAGATAATCTAATGCGACCAGAGAACGATGGCGATTTACATGAAGTGGTCTTCGGAGTCAACATAGTGCAGTTGGATCCAGGAACAATTGTTCATTGTCAGGATCCCAATTCAAAGCTCAAGGCAGAGAGATGAGCGCTAGCCGAAAGGGCTGACGCTAATACACCGAACCTAACCAGAATGTAACCACACTTCTCAACCAGATAGATCGGTTAAGTCTGAATGTTGCAGGAACGCTAACTTGGAGAGGAGACGACGGGAGCTAAGTAGCGGTAATCACAAGACAATTACGCTGTGAGGTGATCGATGAATGCCACCAAACGGCGTATACAGGTGTTAGGAGAACAACCAGCCTCTTACGAAAAAGTCTATAGCGGCCAAGGCTGAAGGGGGACGTGAAGATATATGTACTTGCCTGTTCCTAAGACCAATTAATGAATAGAGATCAGTGCATAAGCATGCCTCTGCTGCCCATTCCTGAGGCAACCATGAGCGGTCTACGTTTCCATTAATAACGGTTATAATGTCTACGTTTCCACGAGCATCTAACGGAAATTAGTACCTGTTGGTGATGATGGAGCACGCTACACGATGGCTGAACATGGTTGCCATTCCTGACCAACAGGGAAAAACAGTGGCGGAGGTAGTAATTCGACATGTTGTAGCGGACCATGAAGTTCCGAAAATGACATTGACAGGCCACAGTTAATATTTTGATAGCTATGAAATTACATCCTGCCTAGGCCAGTTGGGGATCAAAAGGATCTGAACAAATATATATCATCTATAGGTTCACGGGCCAACAAAACAAAGTGATCACAAATTGAAGAAATGGCTGTGAGTAAACGGAGGTATCTGGGAGACGGAACAACCAATGATATAACTAGCATATTATGCCTCAGTCCAAGGAACTATCAGAAAGTTGTCTTGGTAACCGATGATGTTGCCCCCAAATGACCTGGTACAGCCGAGAGTGGGGAGAGTCCGCTCTCCCTCTCCAAATGCTCTCATATAGCCACGCGAATATATAGCCTCTGACAGGGAAGTCCTACTCACTGTCTTCTCGTGGCACCGGTGTTGTTCACGAAAGTGAGAGGATGAAAAGCGAATGTCCGGCGCTTTCAACGGGTTGGTGGACACGGAGAGTTCACCTAGGGAAGTTGGAAAACCCTGATTGCAAACCAATGGTGAACATGGGATGGCTCCAGGATCCTGAAAGAAAAAATGGCGTATGAACCAGTTGTGGGTCACCGGCTACCTTGGGACTGCATCTCCTCACGATGCTCCACTGCCTTGTGGGTTAGACCTCTAGGTCAAAGGCTCGGGGTGTGGCCCCCTAAGAAAACCACCTGCTTCAGTTTGGGCACCTGTGCAGTATCACAGCCCTCACACAAATCAAATGAGATTTGTCAGGCGCATATTTATCTGGTGCTTCCTTGTACCAATATTTATGTGTTTAAATAAAAAAAATAATAAATAATCAATGTACGGCAGACGATCACCAAGTACTAAAGTTATTTTAGTAAACTTCAGGTGGGTCAGTTTGATAGACAAAACTAATGTCAATATTCAAAATAGGAACCACTGCCTAGGAATTTATACTAACCATTAAGTAATGGTATATGCATACATGGTTAGTGATTCCACTCGACTATTCAAGTAGAAGTTTGGGGAAGAGAGGGTTTCAAAAATGCAACTCACTTATCAATAGTTATTTGTTCTAAACATTAAGTTAACACTGCAACAAAAAATTTGAAACTCAACTACCTGGAAGTCTTTAAATAAAATCTTATGAGAATAATCAACAAGAATGAATAGTAATTACTATTATTTGAGAATAAATTACCTTAGAACACGATGACATTGATGACACTTGAAACAGGTTTTATGATAAACTCGACCAATAGTCTGTAAAGCTTCTAAAGGATAGACCACCTCTGCACAAGCATGACACCTAGGCTGTTCAATTGATTCTCTCGTTGGAAGCTAAAATAAAACAATAATCTTTATGTATATACAAATTATTCAATTATTCAACAAACTATATAGAACCAGGGAGATAAAAATTAACGAAGCATAAAAGAGTGGAACTAAATGACCGAAAAAAAAGAATAAAGGCAAACAAAGAACGAACAATGGAAAGTAAAATTATATGATGTCATGACTGAAATAAAAAATGAAGAACTTTATTTTCACGGTATTCCTGCTTCAAAGTCAAATGGTAGATATTTTTCATCAAATCCAATGCATATCATATACGCATGCACAGAAAAATTCATGATTAATTCATCATCATAAAGGCAAGCTAAAAATTAGGATATAAGTTGTTAGAGAAACTCAACTCATATGATATAATTTTATAAGAATATATATACATATACCTGTTAAACCATAGACTTGACTGAAACAAGAGTAAACATATTGAATAAATCTACTATACACTTAAATATCGTTAATTTAAACATGTTAATTAACATGGAAATAAGAATTCAAATAAATATTTCAGTAAATTAGAAATGAACTTTGAATATAAATAAAAACAAATGATAATTAATTAGTTGTTTTGATTACCGTCATCGACGTACTACTATTCATGTAAATATTTTTATCCATTTTGGAACCCTGTATGAAACAAAATTGTAGTTCATATAAAGATATGTTAACAATTAAATTTATTTGGTAGTATATTTATTAATACTAATGTGGAAATATTCATGTCTTTAGCAGTCCTTTTTCGTATTGTATCAATGGGATTAAGAAAAACATTGCTTCAACTCAAAATGTTCCTATAATATTACATCACTTTAGATCATTTTAATTGGTTTTATAGTTGTAAGGTATTTTCAGAATTAAGTGATTGTGTATAAGAAAAAAAAAATAGATATGCTAATTAATTTAATCTGTAAAATGTTTGTAAATTTAAAAAAAAAGGAATTCTAGCGATTGTACACAAAATGTAAGAAATAAAACGTAAAAGAGTATTCAGCGAAGAAAATGTTCTTTTCGACGAAATCATTTATTTACGCATATATAGTCATTAGAAAATATATGTCTACAGGAGAAAATGATTTCGTTGAGAAGAAAATTTTCTTCACTGAATACTCTTTTTCTTATTCAATGACATTATGAGTTATTTTAATTAAATAAAACATAATTAATGAAAGTAAATTATCATTTAAACATTGAAGTATGGATTACTTTGTACAAATAGACTCGAACACACGAACAATGACTGGGCATGGTATAGTAATTACCTAGAATGAAGGTTACCAGTGTCAATTACTTTAATCTTTTTATTTTTCAAAGTATCATTGATTCGTAAAACAATAATTTTATTACTGAAGCCTTCAGTCAGTGAGTCAGTCAGTTACAACGTAGAACTTCGTACGTACGTACATCAGTTCGAGTTGCCATACCACATTAACACAGAGATGAAGTTGTCGATCCAAATCCCATATTGGTAGAAGTAGTAAGAGTATAAGTATTATGTGAAAGATAAGGGTTTGAAGATGTTATTCAAGGAGTATAATACGGTGAAATAAATTTGGAAAGAGAAAAAGGATACGGACATGAAGAATTCAGAAGATTAGAATTTGGTAGAACACAAAGAGTGCATGTACCTTCGCCATTACAAACGATTTTGAGCCATGTCATTTAAGGTCTCTAACCATCGGTTGCTGTCATCTCGCGAATCCCAACCAGGTAGTCTACACCTACCAACACGGCCCAGTCCACTTGTCAGCGACTTCATGGATTTATGCCATGTTTTGGTCTAGCCGCCCATAGCTTTCTTCCAACCAGCTCCTACACCATAAAGCATACGTAACACATGTCCCAGCCATCTCAACTGAAGCCTTCACTGATAATTAACTTTGAGTGAAGACAATATAAACATTTTTTTAACATTTACGTTTACACTGTATAGCAACATTAGTTTCGCCGATAAGTTAATAGGTCTTGAGTACAACCTCAAGTAAGCAGAACACATTATTTAATTTTTTTGACTGTAAGCAATTTAAAAGACTTGGTCAATTTATACTCAAAAAATTTTCTAACCACAGTTATGAGCACTTAAAACTATTCATTCCTCTGTAAATATCAATAAAGTGTATTGAGTTAAAAAAAAGAACAAATTCGTAATTAAGTACCAGTTCGTGTAATCATATTTATGTGCATCGTGGTGATAACTACCAGGTCGCTCAAACCAAACTAGATGAAACCTAAGGTTTAAGCTTCAAACCAATGATCAATAACCAATAGACCACTGTTCTCCAACTAATTTATTTTTATGTTACATGCATTCAACATACATTAAGTTTATATGTAGCTCATCTAATTTCGCTTTGAAATGAAATTGATTGTCATGAATCAGTATTCTTTTCATTGACATCCTCTCCAGGTTACAAAGATTTCAATATAACACTTATGACCGACTTCTTGAAATGAAACTTCAAAAATAGATGGTGTTAGCATTATATAATTAACATCGTTGTCATCGTTGGATTGATTGATTTTCCTATTGAGTACTGTGTGAATAAATTCTACAATTTCCTGTTGGTGAACATATTCCCGTATATTTCGGTCACTACCACCATGTTTGTATTCCGTTTGATACATTTCGTTTAATTTTTTATGCTTGACTGCAGTTCGACTACAATCAGAATCTTAATAGTTCCAGTATTTTAGTCGAAATTAAGCCTATTATTGATCACATCCATTGATAATAAAACCGATGGGTGTATATTAGGTCATGGAACTGCCGATTGTTATTGCCTTTAAAGTGTAGCTAATTATTCAAAGATTCGCTTTTAAAGTAACTAAGTAGTTGGATGATTTAGCATCCACCTAACTCGACTGAGTGTTTATGTAAAAAACCAATCTTATAGGAAAAACAGTACTACTAATATATATTAGCGACATTTATTGGCATACACCAACGATACACATGCTCTTTTACATAGATATAAATCTATGCATCATTATAAAGCCACGGTTACAGACACCTCTGTTTAAAACAGCCATTTAGGATTGACTGTTATAACACTAGTTAACCAAGATTATTTTCAAGAAACAAATAACAAATTGAGTTAATTTTAAATTTGCCAACAGAAACGAATTTACATGATGAAAAGGGCGTTACACTGGCGCCATTATATTTGCATGACGAGAGATAGAAAAAAAAACTACAGATGACGGACAATAAGTGTTAGACACACATAACATTGTAAAAATGGTGGTCAATTTGATGGGAATATTTCAAGATAAGAGAGCGACAAAAGCACTAAATAAAAAAGCATAAACTTCTGATGAGAATGAGGAGTTGAAAAATACCTACACTGTAGTGTATTCACCAGACGTATTAGTAACAGAAAAAAATAGTAGTAATTAAATATTTTACAAATTATCATTAATAACTTGTGAAGTAAACCGATATTAACCAAGAACTAAAAGCGAACCAACAATAGTAATATTATTATTACTATTAGTATATATATATATATATATATATATATATATATATATATATATATATATATATATATATATATATATGAGCCCACCAGTTGGCTACTTCGCCAATTGTTTAGTGGGTAAAAAAGCATATGTCCCGACTACTTGTCAGTTACATCATGGATAAATAAACGAGTGATAAGATGTTGATACAAAACTAACTGGTCACTAATTATGCAGCATAAATCAAAATCCTGTAGGAAGCGATAGATAGAAAAAGAATAGATTATGTATATCACCACATTATATCACGACAACTTGAGAATATTAACAAATCGATTCCAATTCAATGCATTAGGCACAAGCTATGACGAAACCTAAAGGTCCTCGACTCGATCACTGGTGTAACCGAATATACGGACCTCTGAGGAGTCTTTTACTAAAACGAAAGATCTGTTCAGTGCTCCCTGATTTTGAATGGTTGTCCAAATAAGTGTCAGTCTGTGACGAAAACCACCTCTTCATATGCTCGATCTTCATAAAAAGTAGTCGTAAATACAACTAAATCTGAAACACTAGTTAGTTGGCATTCGGGTCAGTGATATCACCTTTTTCCTGAACATCTCTTTAAGGTTCAACTATAAGAATCTACTGCTAAATAGGTACTATAATTTTACAAACTCAGGACTTTAACAGATTCATCAACAAATACTTTTCCCGATGTCTTATAATAATTGGCTAGTAAAATTCTCATCACAATTCAATAGAAATCTGGATAAACAGAGTTTACTGATTGAAAACAATCGAGTAAAATAGTTCAGCTGGAAAACAGAAGTAGTTAATTACTTCAGTTACTCAATAATATCAAAAAGTAGACCAATTTCATTGACGATCTACTAAATTGATTCATTATTTTCATAAAACAAGTATAATCAAGAAAATTAAGCTGGATCAGTGATTAATTAGCACGACAGAAAATACAATATACCAATAATTTTACACCTGATGAAAAGCAGTCAGTGGTATAGCGAAAATGGTTAGTTGTAAATGATGGTTGTGTTATGTAGTTCTTACAAAAATAATTTAGCCTGATCAGATTTTCAAGTTTTGGCGAATTAGGTGTTAGATGGCTGTTAGTTAACAATGCAAAAGTTGCGTTGATTGAAAGCACAACGATTAAAAGGCCAATATAGAACGTGAAATTTACGCCAGTGTTGCACACCACATCGATTGAACTTACTATCAAAGATGGACAAGTACGCCACCTTGTACGATCCTCTAAATTATCATCGGGTATAATATTCATTTTAACCAAACTTTCAGAATCACAATAATTATGCATCGGCTGAGATTGATGTTTTAAATTCTCTACATTTATATGTTGTTCTTCAGTAATAAATCGTTCTAGTGGTATGGTTCGTAGACGAGTTTCACTAAGTAATTGGTGATTTGATCCATTGTTCAAATCTTCAAATTCTTCTATTTCGACGGCTTTATTGTAATAATTATAACCAATACCTAACTAAGAAATTGAATTTAAGGACAGAAGCGATAACGATTATAATGACAATTTTTACTTGTTCTTCTAGTTAATTAAGACCTTACAAAATATGGATGCCTATAAACCTATAGCGATAACAGTTGATATTGTGAATAACAGAACTTTTATGGACATTTTTTGGAAAAACATGATGCTAATCAATTACTAAACAAAACTTACTAATCAGTATTTCAAATATTTCTTTTGTTAGTAGTCATTTGTTAAACATTAGTTTACAAATTGTAGAACACAAACTATCTAGACTCAAATTTATGAACGACATTTGATGTTGAGGAAATGTAACCACTTATTTGATTCAAAATAAGGTCAGGAAATAGTATCAACTGTTGGCGTTTTCATAACGACCTGACACCAGCTTTAGTACAGTCATGGCATGTAGCTATATGAATGTGATGAATTTCGCACAGAATTTCAACAGGAGGTATTTGATTTGCTCGTCTGTAGACTATAGTCTCGCTCGAAGAATGTTGTCTACTAATTGAAGTACCAAAATTGGCTAACATGACATAAAAATCTTTAAACGTGAACCAAATAGAGATCAAATTCGATCAGAAATTTCATATGTAACTCAATAACCATATACGCATACCCATGCAGTAGGCTATAAAATATCTTTACTGATAAAGTATAGCTAAGTAAACTTTACTAAATAGGAACAAACCAATGATTTTCTGGTTATCTAGTTAAACACAATATCACAAGATCAGCAAAATATACCAAAATGCTTTAATTGAATGTAACTTTGCTTAACGTGTTATTAGATAATTGAATCAAATGTAGATAGCGATGAACTAAAATGATTTCATCCAAGATTGGTCGCCATCGTTAAAACAAACCAAATATTACATTGTTTATATATTCAAAAGTACAAAGCGCATATAAAAAGCTACAAAACATTCGAGGTAGGTGTATAACAATACTTCTACACATACATGCGATACACTCATTAAATAATTTTATTAGCTAATAAACCAATATTCATTAATTAACCTAATTTTAAATAAGAGGACCGTAAAAATACCAAACTGGGTTTATTACCTATATATATATATATATATATATATATATATATATATATATATACATGATTCACATGTGGGTACGGCTAATATGTAAATATATCACTAAATATTAAAACAATAACCATGAGCTTATAATGTTGCTTCATTATTTTACTAGTTATAAAAAAAGTGGACGTTCATGTAATTTTTAAGTATATCCTAGAAAATTAGGTTTTCGGAATGAGAGTTTCATCAAGCCTAATTTAACCGTATGAGCACGGTTTTAAGATTTAGAGTTGAGATCGAATTTTCAGGATACGAGGTATCATCCAATGAGAATTATGTATTTGAATTTACTCTAAATTATTTAAGGTGAGTAATAATGATTCCATTCACTCTCTCACTGTCCCTCTCTTTACATATTTATTATACGCACTTGCGTTTTTGTGAATTGACTTACAAATTATCTCTTCTTTTCATAAGTAAGAATAAGTGCGTAACTTATCAGTGATATTCCAAAGTAGGTGTATTTTTCGAATTCATGAGAATAACTTTGCGGCACTTAATAAGTAGATAATACTAAATTAATTAAATTATAAAGGGTTAATTGTTGTTTTTTTTTGTTGAAATATTTCTGAATAAATATAAGAACTAGAAAAGACATGTAGACGATTGATTAATAGAATGAGGTGTGATGTTTATTCGAGTAATGACTTGCTAATTAAGAAAAGAAAACTTATTTGGAAGAGAAATTCAGTAGATGTCAAACATTAAACAAGTAACAGAAACAAACAATAATCCAACACATTTCATTTAAATTCATATTGATATGACTGACAGAATATATAATAATACCAGAATATTGTGCAATAGATTATGTAACGGTATTTAAAGTTGTAGTGTGGTATGTGCTATTGATGTCAACATATATAAGTAGTATGTATCACCGATTGAAAGTGAAACGCCTGGCGGCGGAAGGTTAAGAAGATAGAAGAAAAGAGAACGAGAATGTAGAATGATTGCTGTGGAAATGAAGGAAAAATCAAGTCTGAGACGATTGATTAACATTTTGCAAATGAAGTATTTATTGTATGGTTCTCAGATTTTATTAAGACATTCTGTAATTTTGTATTCAAATACATTCGATTGTCCCCACTTGTGTTCTCATTCATTACAGCAATAGTTGTAAATAAATGAATAAAGAAAACAGAACAACAATAGATTTGATGTAGTTTTGATGTTAAGTCTGTCATTAGTTAGTAGAAAATAAAGGATTAATTTATAGGAACGATAGATATTTATTTGAAACTACTAAATCTATGACCTTTAATCGTTGTTATTTGAATGTGGCTCGAAATCAAATGAATAAACCTGTACTTATTAAATGAAAATAATATTCGAGATAGTAGGATGTACCTAAATAAATGGCAAGGTTTTAGAATGGGCTTGACTGTTTTGATTGATACAAGTTTAGAATCTTGTCAGTTAGCTAACGATATTGTTCAAAAAGACACATTAGTCACCGAAATAGGAGAAATTGAATCCACTTGACAGTAATTTAACATCAAGAATATTAATCGATAAATCGATAAAAGTCGGAAAAAATTACCAAATGGAATTCTTGTGTAATCAGGAATTTGTAAAAGCTATGGGGTCACATAACCCATTCTTCTGGACAATAAACCGGTAGATAGTCACTAATTGATATACGATTTATGTAGTGCGATCCTAGTGGCGAGTTTCAGCGACTCAGTAAGCAGATTGCTGTGTATACGTAAACCGAACACTTCAGTCAAAAAAAGGTTCTTAATCCTAATAACCAATTAACAGTGAGTGGGTTATTCGAGAATGAAGTTAAAGACAGATACCCACAAATGATTTATGTATGCTACGAATTTACTGAAATTAAAAGCATAGTTCAACAAAATGAAAAGTATTTATTTATGCATTTATCCATCAATGACATAATGGAACTCTTCGAAACTTTAATAAATGTACGTTATGAACATGCGATCTAGGAACTGAGCTCAATGTTACACATATGACTCTGCACTCACAGTATTTGCATTACTATTGTAATTTTGACAAAGAAACCACCTTGAATATACTTTATAAGCACGTGCTAATAAAAGTAGTAGTACTTGATTTTTCTTAAAGTTTGAAATCATACACACACACGCGCGGTAGTTTACCATGAATTCATGAAGCATTTTAAAGCACCATCACAATGTGAGCACACAGGAGAAGCGGCGGTGGACTGATCAATACTTATACATTGGTAGGTACATCAATAAATAATCTGTCGGTCAGTATTAATCGCGAATTTTAGTTCTTGATAACAATACACATTAAAATAACATGAAGTTTAAGTAGTTTGTCTACCTAAATTACTTGAAAAGGAAATAGTGAAACATATTTAGATTAAGTATAGGTGGGAAATACCAAAATCATTTGAAGTACTTAAAAATCACCACACTTGTGCATGTAAAGTTTAGGTTTGCTATATAATAAAGCGAACTAAATATGATATGAAAAATATAATAAATAGCTTTAATGACTTATACGCATTCAGAACAGTTAGTTGGTGAATCACAATTAGAAAAACACCTAAACTACAACTATTATATGGAATATAGAGCTTTAGTTGAAGCCATTCAGTGTATTGCTAGATAAATTAATATATGGGATACTTTAGATGGTACTAGCATGAGTCTCAGTTCCAAGGTGAACAGTAGGTTGAGTAGACATTTCAATACAAAGATATATAAAAATTAAATTGACTGTGTTTTACAACAGTAAGTCAATCAATCGTGAATAACATAGGGCATAGGAACAAACGTACAATGACCAAGTTACCACAAATCATATCAACGACATACAACAAATTCCACAAAATCGAAAGAATGGTCAATAAATACTAGCAGATGAAATAACATGAAAATTCAATATGTAGAGAAAATTTGGAGAATCAAATTTTTATTTCCGTGTAGTCGATTTTGAGCGATACAACCTAAGATCTCCCCACCCCCAATTGTAGGTAACGAAAAACACGTAAATAATAATCCTGAAACCTCCATAAGCTTACACATCACAAATACAAATTAATGATTCAATGGACTAATAATCACTCTCAGTTAAATTCTAACTATTATGATGCACAGAATAGAGTAACGAGTTAGATATTTCGGTATGTGTAATACGTGTGTCAATCGTTAAACGCTCAAGACCTCACCAACCAACCAACTCATGATACCAATCTAGTAGTTGCCACACTAGCCTTCCCCTCTCACCAGGTTACAGAATTAGCAGTTTCATCACAGAGGCAATCGTTGGAAGACAACGATAACAAAAGTACTTGCAACTCAGTATGTCTTCTAACTTCATGAGTAAAGAGATAAATTCAAGGCATGAACAAAGAATTACAATCGAGTTAATGAATATTCCTCTGTTTAATACATATTCATATTTATATTGTCACAAAGTAAATATTAATATATAAGAACTTTCGTCTAAATTATAACGAATAGAGCCCCCAAATGCCCTGGTACAGCCGAGAGTGGGGAGAGTCCGCCCTCCCTCTCCAAATGCTCTCATATAGCCACGCGAATATATAGCCTCTGACAGGGAAGTCCTACTCACTGTCTTCTCGTGGCACCGGTGTTGTTCACGAAAGTGAGAGGATGAAAAGCGAATGTCCGGCGCTTTCAACGGGTTGGTGGACACGGAGAGTTCACCTAGGGAAGTTGGAAAACCCTGATTGCAAACCAATGGTGAACATGGGATGGCTCCAGGATCCTGAGGGAACAAATGGCGTATGAATCAATCGTTGGTCACCGGATACCATGGGACTGCATCTCCTCACGATGCTCCACTGCCTTGTGGGTTAGACCTCTAGGTCAAAGGCTCGGGGTGTGGCCCCCTAAGAAAACCACCTGCTTCAGTTTGGGCACCTTGGCAGTATCACAGCCCTCACACAAATCAAATGAGATTTGTCAGGCGCATATTTATCTGGTGCTTCCTTGTACCAATATTTATGTGTTTAAATAAAATAAATAGTTTTACAGTATTTGGGCACCGAGTGGATGTGAGACATTAAATGGGAAGAATATATTTGCAAAATCTCAGCGAATGAATTTGAAGAAAATCCAACGTTTCGATTGGCAATCTGGTTCAAGCTTTTTCAAGGAAATATTAATGTTTATACAACCTTCTTATTTGCATTTTCATAGCTTAAACTTATGTTAATCACATCTAGTCACATATTATTATCACTATTATTATATCACCTGCCAACCTTTTAAATAAATACATTCAATATCCATCCCTACTTACTAATTCGTACCGAATTCATATTATTCTACATAGTACGTGATTTCTAATTTGTAATTACATCATTATCTCTCTCACCCAATGTTAACCATATTTATTCTGATCACTAATCTCACAATTTCATTTAACGAATAAACTTAATCAAGTCAACACTTTATATTAATCATCCAAATATTAACGAATTGATTTTATATTACAAACAATTTTTAGACGATGTATTTTGACTTAAACCTGGTCACATTTTGGGGTTATTAATTTGGATATACAATTGTAGAAGTTGAAGAGAAATTATTTTTTTTTAAAAAAGAGAATAGTCATCGTCCATATATTTGTCGTGTAGGGAAAATTGATTAGCACTCACGTCTAGATCACTAAATGGTTAATCAATCAGATTAGTGAATGTATATAACGTGACATAGATGTATTAACAATACATGAAAAGTGTATTTAGAGATTGGTTGAAGTTAGACATTAAACACCGTTGAATTTCGGCTCAGTGGTCTAGAGGTTAAGCGCTCGCGCGCGAAACTGATGGGTTCTGAGTTCAGATCTCGAGAGGCGCGATCGTGAATGCGCACTGCTGAAGAATCCCACAATAGGACGAAACGACCGTCCAGTGCATCCAGGTTTTCTATAGAGGTCTAGCTTCAGTTGACTCATGATTTCAACTATGAGATTGAAAATGGCTTGTACAAACTGCCGTTGGATCATTTCAACCAACATTATCTTTAACGTTATGAAGCTAACTAGCCAATCGTGGATGAGCACAAATGAGAAGTTCCGTACTAGGACGAAACGACCGCTCAATGCTCCCGTGTTTTCAACGGTGATCTAACAATTATCGGTTCATGATTTAAAAGAAAATTAATATGATCGATATTGCAATGATTCTCAGTAAGTTAGCGTTTTCGAGATCCAAATATCTTTACTTGATTATGGTATCATTGCTTCACCCTATATTATCTCACTAACAATGCTTATATAAGTAGACGAAAAAAGCAGAAAGAAATTGAGTGATACACCTATACGATGACTATTTCGATGATGAAAATAGGAGGTAGGACGGGGGTTGTTGGTAAACATTGTGAATAGAAGGAAATCAACTACAATCTTCAAAAAAATTTAAACTGTCAACCCACAGAAAATCAATATTCTTAAATCTAACAAGCAATAGACAGATAGATTTAGAAAGAAGGATAGATATAAAGAAACAACTAGCGACTTGGTAAAATATATGCATTGGTCCTCCGTCGTCAAGTGATATCACATCAAGAAAAGAAGTTAAATAACTAGGGCAGGAGAAACAGCGTGACTAAACGTCGATTCTAACACATTTATAATTCCTAACGAATGTTGTAAATAATTTTTTGAAAAAAAAATCATCGCTATTGCCATACTATCAAGCTGTCTGCTAAATAAGATGTAATTGCTGATGTAAGTTGACTCAAAATTGATCGATGCATAGACTGGTTTGATTGATTTGCATATTTGATACAAGGGTTGATTAGTAAAGTGAAAAATTGAAATTCAATTGAGGTCTAAGTTGTTTATCGTATCACATCAACTAATTGACCGCAAGACCTGTAGCTGGAATGCCGAACACCTACACTACTGGATATCTAATTGGTTTCAATAACCAGACAAATCTACTACCAATATTGAAGCCTAAACAAATACAGACGGTAAAATAGGATAGTATTATTGCTTTTTAGATTAGTTCAATTACAGAAATCTAGGAATATTGAAGCTGAAAATAAGGATTTTTGGAAAATACGAAGATCAATAATAATATATGTAGGTACTCCATTAATCAGATTTAAAATGAACAAATAAATGCACATAATTGTTCCTGGATTCTACGGGGCATTTCCGAAAAGTTCTGAAGAAAATACTTTGATTAACATAATTACAATCGTTATCTCTAGGATTAAAAATTATCAGTTTAGTATAGTTATTTGAAGTGTATGAGTTTGAATATGCACAATTCATTATAAAAGAATGTAAAATACAGAGATGAGCAACATGTGAAGTGGGGAAAACCACTAAAAGTACCACGGTCCAAACTGATTTTAGCCACATTATTACAAGATCTACGATTCAATCCAGTTCCAAATGATAAGTGAAGACTGATGATAACTAGGATAGCACAGTTATAAAGTGATATCCAACTATTATTGAGTTCTCTGAGCCAGGTGATTTCATCATGAAGCTTTCTTTCTCTCTCTAAACAATATCATCAGCACATACTTCAGGTAGAAATGATCTATAAGGACTCCCCACAAGTTACTAGCAGCCTGTGGGGAGTCCTTATAGATCATTTCTACCTGAAGTATGTGCTGATGATATTGTTTAGAGAGAGAAAGAAAGCTTCATGATGAAATTACCTAGCTCAGAGAACTCAATTTAAATAAAATCATCCTCCTGAGCCACATTTCATTTCCATCATTTTTGACTTCAGATTGTTCAGCAGATTATATCAATTTGTTAGCAAGAATTACTTTCAACGTCACTATAAACTTGCTTGATGTAAGTTTGTTGTACGTGAAACCATGCTAATTATAAGCGGTAGTAATTGCAAAAATAAAGAAAATATAGGAAAATAAACGTGATCAGTCAAAACATTCATACTTTAGAATCAAATTGTTTTTTTGCATATTCTTCATGAGGATTATAAACTTCTAAATTTTCTTGAATCAAATTGTCCATTTCTGTATTATGATTTGCAGTATTTACAGGAGTCACTGTAGTAGGTGTAATTACAGGTGTATGACGAACGACTGTGGCCTAATTAATTAAAATGAGAGGAGATAGATAATAAAGCGTTACTTAATATTATTCAACTTACCTAACAGAAAGAAACGCTTTCGCAAACAAAGTGGAAGTATGGTAGTAAAAATAAACACCTCATGTACAATCTTCCCTTTAATTAGTTTTAAAATGTTATGTTTGAATTTCTTAGATCATAGTGACTAGGTAAAAAAATTCAGGGATCAGCAGGAAGTAATTAAGCTCATCTGTGAGTATGCATACGCGTGTATCACTGAAGATATTTCTTAGGAATGGCCTCCTTGCATATAGAACGCATTTAATTTTAATGCTCGTGCTAAGCCACTAAAAGTATATTCATCAGTAAAACTGATATGCTCAAACACAAAGCTTAAGTCTTTTTGTAGAATAGCAACCCATGTTGATGATGATAAGTGTTAACAAGTAAAAAAAATATAACTCCGAAATTTAGTACTAATTACCTTTAAATACGGAATATGGTAGTGAAAATACCGTAAAGTTGTTAAAGAATCCCAGTAAATTCAGTGGAAAGGACGTCATATAATATTGTGAATTAACACTTGGAGCTCTATGTGAAATATATTCGTTATGTATTCAGTGAGTATCACGTAATTTGACTGAGTTCTTACATATCACTTTAAGACTAAGCGAACGGAAAACCAACTTCTGTAGTTGGAGGTAGTCAGCAAGAAGCTCTAGACATAAATTTTATATTAGTCGCCACTCGTCAGCAAGGTGTAATCTATAATCTTTAATCCTGATAGAACTAATGGTCTCTGTGAGATTTGGACCCGGAACAACCAGCCCAACAGTATGAGATGTTCCCACTGAGCCTTCCGGGTCATGGGTGACCTACTGAAAGGTTGAGGTGCTTATAACTGAATGATTTTTGAGTAACGAACAATGTCCTGTTCGTCGAAATCTTTATTGCTGATTGAATTCTACCAATTAAGTTGTGATGTATTTTACCTGTTGAAAAAAAAATACTTACATAAGAATCTTCTACCCAATGATCCAATGGTTGCGGGTGGATTTCGATTTCACATGCAATATCGTTTTCATCGATCGTTGTTACATCGGAAGCTAAAATACAAGATAAAATAGAATAAAATTCTCAAATACTGTTATGAAACTGGATATATCTCATCGTTTTGGATAAATTACAAACTGAAATCAAATTATGATTAACAAATTTATGGTTGGTCGTATTTAAGCTAAATGTTCTGAAATGTGATCATCAACAAAGCAACTGGTTTCATTGGTGTTTTTAAATTGTCAACCACCTTGTCTATATGCTGATAATCAATTTACCTGTCAAGCTATTTTTAGACCATTACTACTGCGATGATTTCAATCTCATTATTCAACTTGTTATGTTAATTTGGTATAGGGACATGGGCCGATGCACATTTGTGCCAGGCCGAATCGAAGTTTACAATTAAAGAGCAGAAGAATAATGACAATAACATGTGTGCAAAAACAACAACGACAAGATGATTATTCCCGTGTGAGACAATCAGTCAAATTGCAGAACTGGTACAATATAGAAAAAAATTACGAAATATAGTATGAAGCTCAATTTATAAAGACACCAAGTAATATTAAAACACCGAATTTCCATTATGTGTACGAACAATATTTACACATAAAAGAGCAGAGATTAATATTAGATTACTGTCAATATATTACCAAGGCAAATTACTTACTCGAAGAAGATCTTGATTCCATTCGTACGCACTGTGAATTGTTATGAAATTTTTGAAAAGAAAATAAATTAGCAGTAAAGTTGGATTACTAGTTAAGTAGTGAATGGTATTAAATGATACTGAAAACCAGACATTTGATTAAACCAGCTATTTACGATAAGAACGATGAGACGTTTAGGAAAACACTGATTACATTGGAGAGTAAGACAAAAGTCATGCAGAGACAGGATGAAAAACAAACGAAAAAGTTGACAACAGTTAGTGAGAACTTTTAGACAACATATAATGGATAAAAACAACACTACAAAACAAATAAGGGATGGATCAATTGAAGAATTACTTTATTGGGATTATCAACGAATTCTGTTATTTGCTCTTGAGATGGATCTTTAGACATATCTTGTCGGTCGGATGATAATTCATCCATCAGTATTTCACTGCATTTATGACAATTTTCTTGATTAATTGAAGCTTCCGATGCATAATCTTCATCATTCTCTTCCATTACAATGGACATACGGTCAGGATACCCAATGACAATTTGTTTTATTTCCACATTACGGCTTGATATTAGGTTATTATCAGTCGTTTGTGATGGCTGATATTTGATATCATCATCATCACCACCACCACTATTATTATCAACAAATGCTTTCTCTGCATTTGGTTCATAACCATCGTCATCTGCTTTTAAATGCATTTTTCCTGCAGATACTGATTGTCGGTTATCCATAGAGTACGATAACAATTTTGCAATGTCGAACAATTCATCCAAAGTGTCATATTCATCATTACACTGTGTAACACCGGCTGTGTCATTTTCGCTATCAATGGGGGAGTTAAACTTATTATCTGTAGAGTTTATTAATTTCACATTTTTAAACACAATTTCATCGTCTTCTGTTCGTTTATTGGCAATATTATGATGGGCAGTAATTGAAGAAACCAGTTCTGGCTTACACTGAGTATCACTCTACAAGTAGACCAGCAGCAATAGGATGGGTCACAACAAAAAGAAACGAAATAGATAGAATGATACTTGATTAGATAATGACGTATAACTTATCATCATTAAAAACAAACGAATGCATTTACATAAAAGTACTCCTCACGAATTAATATTAGCTGGAGAAGCGCTAAGAACTAGAGTTTGGGGGAGGTTTTGCTTTAGTTTAGGGTTTATCCAGGAGTGCATAGACACCTATCATGTAAACGAGATTAAACTCAGGGCCTTCAGGTTTATAGGAAAATAAGATATGACTGTGTGATTAAATTGGAATATGAAAATCCCTTATGTCAAATTCAGTGAGTGATAATCGTGAAAACTATCTCACTTCTCACAGCGAATTGGTTGATTACACAAGCCAGTTTCCTGCTACGGTATACGAAAATTTAAATTAGAATGATGTAAACTGTAAATAACCTCTACAACTGCTCATTTTCGGATAAACCAACAGTATATCGACACAGTTTAAACTAATTCTAGTATTTTATTTATTTATTTATTTAAACACATAAATATTGGTACAAGGAAGCACCAGATAAATATGCGCCTGACAAATCTCATTTGATTTGTGTGAGGGCTGTGATACTGCCAAGGTGCCCAAACTGAAGCAGGTGGTTTTCTTAGGGGGCCACACCCCGAGCCTTTGACCTAGAGGTCTAACCCACAAGGCAGTGGAGCATCGTGAGGAGATGCAGTCCCAAGGTAGCCGGTGACCCACAACTGGTTCATACGCCATTTTTTCTTTCAGGATCCTGGAGCCATCCCATGTTCACCATTGGTTTGCAATCAGGGTTTTCCAACTTCCCTAGGTGAACTCTCCGTGTCCACCAACCCGTTGAAAGCGCCGGACATTCGCTTTTCATCCTCTCACTTTCGTGAACAACACCGGTGCCACGAGAAGACAGTGAGTAGGACTTCCCTGTCAGAGGCTATATATTCGCGTGGCTATATGAGAGCATTTGGAGAGGGAGAGCGGACTCTCCCCACTCTCGGCTGTACCAGGGCATTTGGGGGCAAAACTGATTCTAGTGAATAAACCGTTACTATTACTAGCGTATTGAGGGAGCAACCATCATTTCTTTGTGAGTAATGTACAGTTTGAAGAATCGGGACGGTTCTACCAATTTATGTCAATACAAAAAAGTTCACATTATTTTGAAAATATACAGACAAGGAAAAAAAAGTGATGAAACTCTATTCCGCTGACTTAAACAATGAGTATTTCAAAGAAAACAACTGCTTTATTCAACTCAACTAAAAGGTTAATTAATGAGGAAATATTTTTTATATAGAATAAAATATATTGATTTGTAATTATTGACACATCTTTTGAAAGTATTACTAAGAAACTTTCATATCATTATTTTCATTTAATCTAGTTGTTTAGAGTTAAAAATTACAAAAAGGAAAAAAGAAGTTGTGTATAAATTGATAAAACTTAACAATAGGTAAATATATATCTAAACATTCTACGTTGGTTTACATAAAGAATGTTCTACTACTCAGTTACATTTCAATAAGCTAAGTTGAACTTTTACTTCTCTTTGAAAGAAGTACATTTTATTGAGGATAGGCATAATTTGATAAACTATTAAGAGCCAAGAAATTACAGATAGATATTGTGGTATACTCTCCACTTTTCAATAACAGTTAACAATAGCAAGTTATCTGACGATGAGATACAGAAATATCAATGTTCATGATAATGGCAATGTTATCAGGACACTAAGTTAGAATCCAAATGATCTTACCTCAAGACTTTAGAGTGTACATTATACTATTTGAAGACGATATAGATATTAGAAGTGGTGAAGATTATGAAGTATCCGAAAGTTTCAAACACGAAACATCTAGACAGTCTCATACTTATTTCTCAACTATTTAGATAATCGAATAATTTAAAATAATCAATTTTCTGGAAAAAAAACACTTCCTTTCAACTAATCTTTTTATTTGCGACACAAATCAGACTAACTGTAAAAGATAATCAACTACATGTATGATTAGTGCGAAGGTAAAAAAGTCAAACAACTGGTTTTCAAATATGTGCTTTAATTGTTTGTATATCACCATGTTTGGTAGAAGAAAAAAACTGAAAATAGTAAATATAAATAAACCTGAATACAAATGGAGATTAAAGTAAACTAATATCACTAGAAATACTTATCAACGCGTTATGATTCCTCTAATTTCGTCAGTTAATAATTACTAATATTTTTAATAGCAGGAGTTACGTATTCTTGAAAAAACATAATGTACTTTAAGCAACTGACAAAATACATTATTATGCTAATCGATAATGATGATGCGTACATTTTAGTGATATAATGCGACAAATGCTTTCAAAGAAGTGTTAGTGTTTAATAAGCAACGCTGAAGTTAGGCATAGGTTATCATGTAAAGAACTGCAGACCTCTTGATTGACATTCATGTATTAGTCACAAGTTATGGGTGGAAACAGCAAAATAGCCTAAGATGACTAAGTATAGCAAACGTACTTATGATTTATTTTCCTTTCACACTTGTTTTATTATTATTATTATTATTATTATTATTATTATGCGATAGTTTTCATTCCCCGATATTATTCATTAATTAGAAAATGCATCCTGGTGTTGTTTTCACTGCCTATGATATTAATTAGACTATCTTCTATGGCGTTGCTGCTGAGAATTGTGCTGACTGAAATCAGTGGACATCTCTACGATAAGTCCTACATTGTTTATAACTAACTAATACACAAGTACACTTATTATTTAATATGACCTGAAAATACAGAAAATAAATAATTTTCTGTAAAAAAAACTGTGGAAACTTATTTCTGTACTGGTCGTTTGAATCTTCCCACTGGTGTTTAGGTCTGCAACAGATCAGTCTCTTATCGGCATATGTGTACCTTGTGCGGATTGCCTCGATATTGCCTCATTATAAACAGAGATGGGTAGCGGCTAGCAATAAATTGTACTGTTATTTAAATAACTGCTATGTTGAATTGTCATTTTCGCAATTTAAACAGTTGTTTATATTTTTAGTGAATACAATCTGTAAATTGATTCCATGCATATGGAAATATTTTATGAATAATAACTTCAAATTTTGGTAAACAATCCAGCTACACAAAAGTAGTCGTGTGTGAATTGTTAGCTATCGTTACTGAGAGTGAAATAATGAAGTATGAACAACTAAATTGAAATTTTTCCCACTCATTTCATTTTTATTGTTTGGTTGTCCAGATGTCAATTATTTATATAGTTCCTGATATAAACATCATCAGATTATATTTATTCACATTACGGTCCTTGGACAAGAATTTCAAAATAATATCTCTTATGAATGAACATGCGATTATACTTCCAATGCTTAGTGTGGTAAAACAGGAGTTAAGGTATTTTCTGCTACCGATAAAATTATTATTATTTAAATCGCTTTTCTAATATTGAAGTAATATGCAAGTGAGACAGCTACTCATCAAGTACAATGGGAGGTCGTTGAGCGATATTAAGAGTTGATTCAAGCTAAACATGCAAATCATTAAATGACGGCTCAGCAGTCCAGGGGATAAGCCATCACGTGCTAGACCTAAGACCCTGGGATCAAGCACAGTGGGATCATGGATGCTCACTGCCAAGAATTCTCAGAATAAAACAGTGCTTCCTAGTTTACACCGGGAAATAGAAGCAGATATGAAAAGGATGAATAACAACTGGAAAGGAAGGTCTAGGACAGAGTTGGATGGAGAATGCTGGTGAGCGGCATATGCTCCTCGACGAGGGGTAAAAGGCGTAAGTAAGTGATTAAGTAAGTACAAGTTATTATCGTATAACGCATGAAAAATATACATAAAAGGGTATAACAAGAAGTGGAAAAAGTCAAGTTAGCCAACTTTAATCATTTGTCTTTTTAACGATAAAGATATGAAAATGTAATCCTCTCAAAAAAACATATCACTACTATAAAATCTATGTGAAAATTTGCATCTATAAAAGTAAGAACAAATAACTGTGTTAGCAACCTGACGAAAATAGTAGTGTAAATGTTTACCTACGATTTTTCTTTAGTTCAGTGGATGATTTTACTAAACAACTGTATTTGATTTTGGTTTTTTTTACCCCGTGTAAATGAGAAAAGAAACTAAAATAAAATGGCCATTTTTAACAACGAGTTTTAATTCCTAGGAAGAAACTAGTAAAACTAATTTGTATGATTTCTGCAGTGTTAACACGAAAATCATAACATCTCAATAAAGTTAACTGTTCAGCCATCCAAAAATGACTGACTACTGTTAGTGAATTATTAGAACGAAGATATACCTGACGGATGGTTTCCAGGTTTGGCTAAGTGGACACTCAACAGTCAGAGGATAGCAACTAGCTGATATTAAATGCTACCTAAACGAATTTACATATCCTATGTCACGTAGCACCATAAAACATTTCTTCATATGTAAAAATGTATTAGCTGTTTGTATCTACATATATTAGTTACACAGAAAACCCAGCTGTCTATTGAGATATCTTAATTTTATGAAAAGGTAGTAGAAACATTTTGATTAGTTTAAATTCACACTGTAAAAATAAATAAAAATGAGGTAACTTTTCAAAAACAAAATAAGTATCACCATACTTTACTCAGTCATGTGATAACTAAGTATCCAACAATGTATGATAAACTATGCGACAGCATTGTTTTAGTGGCAATCTAATCTACATTACGCAATTAAAACATAACTGTGGGAAATATATCTGCTAAATACTCATTCCTCTGTGTCAGAAATATGGATGATTTTTACGTCTACTTACTCCATCATGCTGATTTTCTTGTCTATGTATAATTATTTCCAATTCTCTTTTATCATCATGTTCATTATATGAATCCATCATGTTAAACAATTTCTAAAGGACAAAAAACACAGTGATTGAAAAGTTTTGACAATTGAATATAAATAACTACCTTAACGGTTGCCTAATTTTATGAAACTGGTCTGAAAAATGGGGAAATTAATGGAAGCAACGCAAACTGAAACGGATTGCACGAGCTAAAATCTTAGTGTCATGGAAAGATGATCATTTATATATTTAAACACATAAACATTGGTACAAGGAGGCAGCAAATATATATGCGCCACACATAAAATGATTTGTGTGAGGGCTGAGATACTGCCCAGGCGCTCAAACCGAAGCAGGGTTTATTGTAAGATCACTGAAGCTTTTACACAGCTAAAACTGTTGATTGGAAGGCTAAGAAACACAAATCCTGGAAAAATAGGGCAACAAAAAGATGGACCACACAAACGAAGTGACAATGATGTAAAGAATTAAAGGGTATAAGTGTAATACAATCAAAAAATGAGTACGAGAAGTATTTATAGTTCGACATAGTTCGATAAAAAAAGACTTGATTCGGTTAAGTGAGATCGTATCCCTTGTCAGTCAGTCAGTCACAACACGGAACTTCGTACGTACGTACATAGGTTCGATTTGCCATACCACATTAGCACAGAGATGCAATTGTCGATTCAAATCCCATAGTGGTAGAAGTAGTAAGAGTATAAGCATTATTGTGAAAGATCAGGGTCTGAATATCTTGTTGAAGGAGTATAATCCAGGGAAATAAATTTGAAAAGAGAAAAAAGATAGATAGGTCTTTAACTATCGATCGCTATCATCTCGCGAATCCCAACCAGGTAGTTTACACCTACCAGCATGGCTCAGTCCACTTGTCAGCGACTTCATGGATTTGTGACACGTTTTGGTCTGGCCGCCCATAGCTTTCTTTCAACCTACTCTTACACCATGAAACATTGCACGTCGAGGCAGTCGGTGGTTGGGCATACGTAACACATGTCCCAGCCATCTCAACTGATGAAGTTTCAACACTTCATCAATCGATTTGCCATCCTTACCTAGTACCCGTTTCCTAACAACTGCATTACTCACTCGGTGGTCCCAGGATATAAGAGCAATGCTTTGAAGACACCTATGATCGAATACTAGTAGCCTACGAATATCCTCTACTCTTACCAGCCATGTTTCACTTCCATAAAGTAGGACGGAACGGACTGCTGCACAGTAAATCCGTCCTTTGGCTGCTAGACGGATATCTCGCCTACGCCATAAATGACGCAATTTGGCAAAAGCTAGACGAGCCTTCTGTATCCGTGCTGAGATTTCGTCACACACCAGACCACAAGGGCTGATCAGATCCCCAAGATAAGTGAAGCGGTCAACACGCTCAACTACTTCACTCCCTATCATTAGTTCATGTGTCGATACAACCCAATCCTGAAGTAACATTTTGCACTTCGAGGGGGAGAATCGCATCCCTTGTATAACAATTTCAATGAATAATTACATCATCCTTATTCTTCTATTGCGAGATTTTAAGCTACACCACCTTTATTACCGTCGCCAAGGGATCGTGATAAGCACACATATCCCAGTCCTGTCGATCCCTCGTTCAGGGTGAAGTGTCATAAACTGACCACATTTCTATCTTTTAATCTAATCCTAGTGTCAGCAAACAATCCACGATATGAAATTCGTTAAAATGACATCGTAGAGCATGACCGAACCGCTGAAGCAGATGTTGCAGATTAATGGCACCAACTGATTTAGTCCGATTATCCATTTTTAACACCGATTTTCAGTTGAATATAACAACTTTAGTTGTAACTATTGTCTTCTGGGGATGAAAAATTTGGTGCTTGCCATATCAGTGGTCTCTCTATTTGTTTTACTGTTAAACCATCTAAGGTTTTCCAGTGATTTTCAATGGTTGGTAGACGGTTTTATTAGCAGTAATATCTGGCATTCAGTGGCCAGTAAGTTGTAGATGCCGACGAGAAACTGCTCACACTTAGCATCGACGGTTTTAACTATTGAATATGGTAGCAAACTACTTGTTTGCAATAAATTAAGCTGATGATACGAAGATAACAACAACTACAGAAAAATATCCATTAAATGTATATTAATAGATGATCCCTAAAACAAACAGACTGCTGGAAGTAATGCAAGTTTTAAAAAACATTTTAGGCTGGGTACCGTCAGTAATTCGCAACACTCACGTTCTTGTCTTTTAACGAATCCAATGCTAGTTTCTGATACAAATGCCGTGTTTCACATTGAATCTCAACGAAATGGTCACGAGAACACTTAGCGTTCCCATTGAGATTTCTTAATAAAATACTTGATAGTATTAAATATGAACAACAACTACCAAAAGTCAGGCATATTTGGACAGGATGGAAATTAATTCTCAACTACAGATGTCAGATGGATTTTTTAGCAGAAGGTAGATGCTGAATTGCACAAACTAACGATTCTCCTAGTAGCTGAGTACGTGGTGGTGGTGGCGTGAGTGGTGGGATTGATTTACTTATAGTGAAAGCCAAAGAGGGTTATGACAATCTGAGACACTTTTGGCGTCTTCGTGGTGTTAGTCTGGCTGTAAAAGGCCGGACCTACAGCGTGTTCTTGAGAGTGGTTTTGTTCCATGCCTCACCGACTTGATGTCATAAGACTCTTCGTATTTAATTATCGTTGTCTTCAAAGGGTTGCTGACATCCAATAACATTACCATGTTAGTAATACAAAGGTTCGGCATAGTGTGTTTGGACACAACAACAATAATTGAATTAGTGTCACTATCTTGAAACATCGACTTCGATGGCTTGGAGATGTCTCACGAATGTCGTCCCAGAGAATTCCACGTCGTGCATTATTTGCTGATGATGGTACTGGTTATAAAAAGCGGGGTAGTCAGTGTATGACATGGTGTCGTGATTTGAAAGAATGCTGTATAAGGCTGGATTCTGTCGGCCCCTTGAGACTCTCTGATCGGGGTCCTAGTGGTGATGCGACACTGGCTAAAGACGTTATCAGACATGGCTCAGAATAAAAGCCAGTGATGATCCTGCTGTAACTTCCTTTTAATTTCTGCATAAAAACGAACACTACTTCTTTAACTGGAATAATATTTTCTGGTTACTTTTTTTCTAAACAATCCGTTTCTGCTATAATAATAGTGATGATTATTATTTCACTCACACCAAGTTTATGTTTATTTTTGTTCTTACTTATTATCCGCGATTTGCATTCTCTATCACTTCACAATCTCATTGCTAAGATGTAGCGCATATGTATTTGGTTCACCCTAGTACCAATATTTGTGTTCAAATAAATAAGAAACTAGTCAAAAACATCGAAATGATGTAAAAACTAAAATATCGCACCAGCATCACTTTAGCTCCCTTTAATTAGGCTTTTGTACATCCCAAAACCTTAACACACTTTGCCGTTATACAACTGAAATTCCTTAGTTACAGGTACTCATTACCACTGGAAAATATTGTGCTACAATGCCTACGTAGGCAGTACCAAAGTATGCAAACCACAGCGGAGATTTTTACGACGTAAACTATGGTGTTTAAAAGAATTTACTGATGACAATAATAACAATAATAACAAAACTGAACTTCTTTAAATAGTTCAACGTAGAAAGTGATGTAGAAGAATACTAGTCTACATGTTACATAAGAGTTGCCCAGTAATCACACAAAAACCAAGTCAAACGTGATTCTTGTCAAGAGAAGGAGCGAAATATTCCTACCGGAAAATTCGAAAGACACGCAATCTAATACAAGTTTACCCCGTAACAGCACCTAGATTTGCAAGGACCAGCTCTAGCTTACGAATTGCCGCCACCAATAGCTCAACCTGATGAATATGTATTAGCGATTTCAACAAACAAACTCCTCTTAGCTGATTTTACGTAGTTTGGCTCAAATTTGCTTGCACGTTGTACAACCGAAATCGCTCTGAGTTTTTATATCACATGAACCGAAAGCAATAAAAGAAGATTTATAACAGAAGGATAGACTGAAAAGTAATATTGAGTGGTCAGCCTCTGTTCTTTGTAGCTGAAATAGGTATCTTTCAAGAGAATCAGCGAAAGTTGTATTCATGAGTTTTTTCAGGGAGAATTCCGTAGTTATCTGACGTAAACAACGAAAGCGACTTTATGAATTTTAGTGCACATTCTTTTGTATTATGCCATAAGTATATACAACTCCGCCTGTAGCTCCTCCATGGGTTACTGCCGGTCCTAAGCCCACACAAAGGAGGAGGGTTGGGCATGGGGTTAGCGACACCATCCCGTAGAAAACCAACTCACTAAAAAAAACGCTAACCAGAAAAAATAACTCAAACCATTCAAACTCTGCCCTGGGAGTGGAAGGAATAATTATTACGTCTCATGATAAAAGCCGAGTTCCTTCGGAAGTCATGAGGTCGATGCACCTTCTTACAACCAGAGCGACAATTTTTATAGGTACATGGAATGTTCGGACAATTGCTGCATAAATGAGAAAATACAACCTGGAGGTGCTTAGAATCAGTGAAACTCATTGGACGCAGGTTGAACAAAAACGACTGTCTTCAGGAGAACTTCTGTTATACTCCGGTCATGAAGAAGAAAATGCCCCACATACACAAGGAGTTGCATTGATGCTGTCCAGAAAAGCACAAAATGCACTTATTGGATGGGAATCTCATGGACCAAGGATCATCAGAGCCTCCTTCAAAACAAAGAGAGGTCATTACAATGAACGTCATCCAATGCTACGATGAAGACTCTAAAGACCAATTCTACAATAGGCTGCAGTCGAGCTTCGAAAAGTGCCCAACCAAGGACCTGATAATTCTGATGGGAGATCTTAATGCTAAGGTTGGAATGGACAACACTGGATACGAAGACGTCATGGGACGACATGGACTGGGAGAAAGGAACGAAAATGGTGATAGATTTGCAAACCTATGTGCCTTCAATAAACTGGTCATTGGTGGCACCATATTCCCACACAAAGCCACTTGGATTTCACCGGATCACACTACACAGAATCAAATCGACCATATCTGCATCAACAAAAATTTCAGGAGAACGTTGGGGAGTGTGATAACCAGAAGAGGAGCTGATATAGCATCAGATCATCATTTGCTGGTCGCCAAAATGAAACTGAAACTTAAGGAGCAACGGCTCGGACAACACCACAAAAGTTTAATACGGCCTTTCTTCGAGATGCCGACAAACTCAACAAATTCAACATAGCCCTCAGCAACAGGTTCCAGGCCTTTCATGATCTACTCAATGGAGAGGGAACGACCATGGAGAGCAACTGGTAAGGTATCAAAAAGGAAATCGTTTCACCATGTGAGGAGGTTCTACGCCAAAAGAAGCACCATCACAAGGAATGGATCACTGTAGCTACACTGAATAAAATTGAAGCAAGGAGGAAGAAGAAGGCAGCAATCAATATCAGCCGAACAAGAGCAGAAAAAGCCAAGGCACAAGCCGAATACACAGAGGCAAACAAGCAAGTGAAGAGGGGCTTCAGAACCGACAAACGTAAATATGTGGAAGGTTTAGCAATGACAGCGGAAAAGGCTGCAAGAGAGGGAAACATGAGACAACTGTATGATACAGCCAAGAAACTTTCTGGAAATTACCGTAAGCCAGAACGACCACTGAAAAGCAAGGAAGGCAAAGTAATCACTGACATTGAAGAACTAAGAAACAGGTGGGTAGAAAACTTCAAAGAGCTCTTGAATCGACCGGCTCCACTGAACCCACCCAACATCGAAGCAGCACCCACAGATTTCCCAATCGATGTTGGCCCACCAACAATTGAGGAGATCAGTATGGCCATTAGACAAATCAAGAGCGGCTAAGCAGCGGGACCAGACAACATCCCGGTAGAGGCACTGAAAGCAAATGTAGCATCAACTGCCAAGATACTCCACATCCTCTCCAGTAAGATTTGGGATGAAGAACAAGTACCAATAGACTAGAAAAAAGGACTTCTGATCAAGATACCAAAGAAAGGGGATCTCAGCAAGTGCGACAACTACAGGGGCATCACTCTCCTCTCAATACCAGGAAAAGTCTTCAACAGAGTATTGTTAAACAGGATGAAGGATTCCGTAGACGCCCAACTTCGAGATCAACAAGCTGGATTTCGTAAGGATAGATCGTGTACAGACCAAATCACAACTCTACGTATCATTGTGGAACAATCAATCGAATTGAATTCATCACTCTACATCAACTTCATCGACTACGAGAAGGCATTTGATAGCGTGGACAGGACGACACTATGGAGGCTTCTTCGACACTACGGCGTGCCTGAGAAGATAATCAATATCATACGGAACTCCTATGACGGACTAAACTGCCAAATCGTCCACGGAGGACAACTCACCGACTCATTCGAGGTAAAGACCGCTGTTAGGCAAGGTTGTTTACTCTCACCCTTTCTCTTTCTCCTTGTGATCGACTGGATCATGAAGACGTCAACATCTGGAGGAATGCACGAAATACAGTGGACAGGCAGGATGCAGCTTGACGATTTGGACTTCGCAGATGATCTGGCTCCTCTATCACAAACACAACAACAAATGCAGGAGAAAACGACCAGTGTAGCAGCAGCCTCAGCAGCAATAGGTCTCAATGTAAACAAAGGGAAAAGCAAGACTCTCCGATACAATACAATATGCACCAATCCAATTACACTTGACGGAGAAGCTTTGGAGGATGTGGAAACCTTTACATATCTGGGCAGCATCATTGATGAACACGGTGGATCAGATGCAGATGTGAGGGCGCGGATCGGCAAAGCAAGAGCAGCATATTTACAACTGAAAAACATCTGGAACTCAAAACAATTGTCAACCAACACCAAGGTTAGAATTTTCAATACGAATGTCAAGACAGTCCTACTGTATGGGGCAGAGACGTGGAGAACTACGAAAGCCATTATCCAGAAGATACAAGTGTTTATTAACAGCTGTCTACGCAAGATGCTTCGGATCCTATGGCCAGACACTATTAGCAACAAGTTACTGTGGGAGACAAAAAACCTGATTGCAGCGGAGGAAGAAATCAGGAAGAAGCGCTGGAAGTGGATTGGGCACACTTTGAGGAAATCAGCTAATTGTGTCACAAGACAAACCCTCACGTGGAATCCTGAAGGTCAAAGGAGAAGAGGAAGACCAAGGAACACATTACGCCGAGAAATAGAGACAGACATGAGAAGAATGAACAAAATCTAAATAGGGCTAGAAAAGAAGGCCCAGGACAGAGTGGGTCGGAGAATGCTGGTCGGCGGCCTATGCTCCATTGGGAGTAACAGGCGTAAGTAAGTAAGTAAGTAATAGGTATATACACTTCAAGTGTAATTCACTTCATAAATACCCCAATGGTCTATTAAAAATGAAGAGAATTATTGTGATATCAAGCACATTTAAAGTATTTTCAGTCTTTCCTTGCATTTATTAAGCGATAATTCTAATGTTTCCAAGTAAGCTGAGTAGCATTTTTGGCAGTGGTAAGCTTTCTGAAACGAATTGTTATGTTTGCAATGAGAACTGGCTATTTTCCAGTTACTTTTCGCGAATATGTATCTATGGGAGACATAACAATGAAGTTTTTTCGTGTGAAGTCTCAAGCAAATGCTAAAAGCGCTCTTCAGAATTGCAGTAGTCACGATATCTGAAGTTCAGGAGTGTGGCTCAATGGTACTTAATGGCTTATTAAGTACATGATTCCAAAAGAAACAGTAACCGTAGTAGGACGAATATCACACTGGTCCCTTTCTGTGATGGAACCAGTTATACCGAAGTCTCTCAATGTTATTGAATTAGAGATGTTCATCAATGATATTCTATGGTGTCATTTTACACGAAAGAACGCTTATGAATCATCATTACTTAGAAGAAAGCTATAGAATAAAGATGGTGAGTTCAGACATTTCTGACCAGTAGTCAAGAGACCTTATCTGAAGAAAATGTTTGGCTAGGTAATCCTGACCTCGTTTATTCATTGTGAGGTGTCCTCAACCATCACAAGGCAATCTATGCGAATCTAGAACTGTTGCATAAGCCAAAATTGGAGAAACTCATAGTTTGTTCCATGCAACTTAACCTTGGAGTTCGTCTACTCAGTTTCTAAAAACATAACAAATAAGCCAGTTGTTCCTAGCCATGTGGCTCGCCTCCATACACTTTCTAGTGTATGTACCATGTCCCCATACTCTAGATGGGGTCGGATAAAACTTTCGAAGACTAGATGGGTTGCCATTTTTGGCACACTCATTATGATGACGAGCGATATAGAAGCTCATTTCGAATCTGAGTTATTCAACAACTTATCTATACTTTTAGGCTTCAACAGAATAATTTTGCGCAGCATATCATATTCAGCATAACGTGGTAGTCAAACATTTCCAATGTTACTTAAGGCCTACGTAATGTTATGCTCAAATCCCACTCAGTGGACAGTAGTCCTACCATCACTTATGTTGGGCATAAGAAAAGCAATGAAAACTACTTAAATATGATAACACCTAAAATCCATGCAACCCAACAAAGACCAAAACAACACAGTGATTGAGACGCGGAATGGCCACCTCGTGACAGGCCGGTCAAGGTCTCTCTAACAAAACGGTAGGCGGCTTCGAGTGAACATAACTTTTTTACCTTGGTGGACCTTAGTAATAGATTGAGTGGTCGCTGCATTGATCAGAGCCGTTAACAATTTTCAACGGAGACTTTAGATTCTTTTTAGCCCGTGGATGGTAGCCAGTTTTCTAACATAGTATCCTTGGGGACCTCACTTGTTATGTTGAGGAAAAAACGTTTACTATGAGAGTCTAACATAGTCTATGTAGTGGCAGTGTTGATTTTCAACACACCACTAGTTCCGACAAATGATTCATTTACACAAATGTTTTTTAAGGTTGTCCTCTATCTCACTGCAAGCCATTCAATTGAATATCCGTCTTCTGACCGTTGGCAGTTTTTCGTCAAACATATCAGAAGACTGATGATCTTGAGCAGCATATAACCAGTATTCATATTTCGTATACCATATGATCACTTGAGACCTGTCATTCCGAGTCTGTTGCCGGTAGTTTCTGTTAGATGTGTGCACGCTTCGTGAAGTCACTCTCTAGATATATTACACTACATCACACATGTTATTGTTTGATGGCATCCAGGTCCCCTATATTTGTTCTTCGTGATTATGCTGAAGTACGACTTGTCGCTTGAGCTTAAATTAAGGCTATTACCATGGAAAAAATGTAATACATTCAGAAAGAATGTCAAGGATAAAAAGATAACTAGTGTAAACGCATTAAATAGGACGAAAGTAGACTAATCACTTGAAATATCGTAAACGCTATTTAGCTAGCTGGAGCGAAGCGTCAGTCAGCTGTAAACCTGAGCGAAATTGTAAGAGAAAAAAAGCTACCAGATGTTAGACTGAAGATAGATTCTTTGAGGCGAAGATGGCGCTTTTATGGCTTTAAGACAACAAAAGTTTGAGAAATACAAAAACACGGTGAGATAAAATTTCATGTCCCTTGATGTATGGAAAATTGCCGTTGTAGTAAGCTATGTTTTGCCGCCTTCTAAAGTTTGCTGAGTAGCTAATACGTATGAAGTGCGCGAATTCTTATTTTATTTGTTCCTGGTAAGAATATAAATCAAGTCTAATAAGTTCAGTACCAATAAATATCAATCAGTTGGCCGGAATATGGTATCCTCAGACAAGTTCAAGCTTTAATTACGGTTAAATACGTCATGTTCACTTTTTCAGGCCATTTTTGATGCTTTCATTGTTGGTTCCCGTTACTTTTCGCAAGCAGACTTAGGTATGAAAATATTGAGCAATACAATCCTGGTTAAATACTCCAAATAGACTTGGGTTAGATATGTGCAGTTTATATGATGTTTGATTGAAAAATCGTTGTCAAGTCTACTGGCTTTTGAATTGTTACCTCCGTTACTACGACGATATACAATTCACTCAGATTTCTTATTCATAAAAGGTCTGTCGGCAAAAGCATCCATGCACCTCAAAGGCGTTAGCAACAAAGGATAAGAGAGTTCGTTTAGTACAAGTTTTTAGTAAATTATATAAATGAAAAGTTGAGGATTTAGGGGAAATAAGTAGTTAAACATGAGGCTTCTATCAGGTAGACAACTGAAGTTTTCGATGTGGTTGATGATGAGTAGTAGGTTTATATAATCATGATCAGCCTAAATCCAACGCAATTAATCCACATCAAATATAATTCCAAGGCAAACCAAATGTATTTGCCCAACAACAGCAACGAACTAAATAAACAGCCCAAAAACAATGTTATATTTAGACAAATAAAAATATGTAGTATTATATAGAACGGCTTAAATTACATCTGAGAACTGTATTTGGAAATTAGAGGCACACAGAAGCAATCACGACTTATTATCTACATATTGTAGGCCATCAACGTTGATGATCTATGTCGAATGATTGGAAGCCTACTCGAGTTAGACGGGAACGGTGTAACGAACAAGCTAACTTCGAAGTCACACACCGCGACCAGCACCTTACGTGGATCGCCCCATCGACGTATCAAGGGGCCATGGATGCTCTGAAGACTGTATAACACAAGGGACGTCATAACAGGAATACAGTGGTTAAAGTAGATACAAGCGAAGAAGAACCTCTGCCGCATGGGCCAGTTCATGGCGCATAATTAACTGGTGCACGTTGATTGTCCTTGACCTTGACGAGGGGTCGATGATCTGTTAGATATCTAGTGACCCAACTGTCGGATGATTTGGCTAGGGTCCAGTGACATTTCACTGACCCTACAATATCATAAACTGTGATTGTATAGACAACTTCACCAGAAACCCTGATTAATAAATCTAGAATGTCCTGAAAGGCCCAAAAAATGTACCACATTGATTTACTGACGATTCATCTGCTTGTTAATTCTATATATTTAATTCCCATTAGAAGACATCGGTGATCTGTGGCCACTAGACAAGGAAGCAACAGCTTTTTGTGTTTCATTCACATTACAATTTATTGAATAGTTTTCGGTTCATCGCAGCTAAATTGTTTACTTCTTGCTTAAAATCGTAACGAACAAATACACACAAAATTATAAGCCACCAGCCTATTATTCTTCAAGAAAACGGATTTCCCGCACTGTTGATGAGATTTGGAAATCTGACACATGGATGGAAAGACATTTATTAACAAGAACTGTAATCACTTTAGAAGAACACTGACAGAATTAAGGTGTGAATAAAATGTTGGTATCGTAAGTTATAAATATGGTTATTCTTACTGAAAGTCTGTAAAGTGGAAAGTACACCAGGAAATCAGTGGTTTGTTGGAAATGTCTCTTACTTTAAATACCGTGACTAATC